TAATTCACTGGTTCTGGTTCTTTATTTCTTCTGAATGTTTTTTTTTAATGTTACTTTTTATGTGCAGATAACTAAAGTTTAACAATTGCGATGACACGGAAGCAGCTGTTAATAATGAAATTCAACTGCTCATTAAAGTTTTAATTGTTCACCACCAGCTATTTAAATGCAGGAAACGGAAGTTTGAGGAAAATGGCAACTTATCCATTAAGCTACGATCCGGAAGACCATCTGGTGAAATCATATAAGAAAAGGTGGTTCATTTCGTAAAAGATAATAACTGCATAAACTAACGAGAAACTGCAAGAGGGCGCATGATTTAGAAAGTTATTTTAGCATATATCTCAAAAAAGAAAAAAAGTATCAAAATATCAAATGATTATACACATATATACACATATACATATAGAGACGGGGACTTAGGAATCGTGTGACATTATTGACAAAGACAGTGTACACTGGAATAACCACTTCTGGCTTATTAATTAGCAACAACCAGCTTAAACTTACTTCAGGTGTTGTAACACCCGTGTTGATTACAAGTCCAACTTCCTAGTCATTGCGTCACGGTTTCGTTGTTCTGTCGGCCAATGACGACCAATAAGCCAAAAATGGCCATTCTATTCTTCCCCATTTTTATCGGTGATGTCAGTCTGACGTAACGGTGTCGCTCTTTTAGGCGCCCTTTCTGACAACTACTCGAGGTGATAAAAGACAAGTGGCTATCGTGAGACGTGAAACTACTTCTGTCCGGGTTCTGAAAGATCTTTTTACGTTTTCTTCAAAAGGCCGCACCGAAACGTTCACGTGCGTTACCCCGCTCCGTCTGCTACTTGGATGGGTGGGCTTTGCATCAACACAGGCAAGGTGGCGCTGGTGAAGTGAATTTCCACAGAGCATTTCTAGGAAACATGTCCAGTATCCATAATCAGGGGGGGGTAGCGATGCGACAATAGAAATGACAGACAGGTTGATAGAATGCATACATACCGTTTCGGCAGGCACAAAAACCTCCTGACTGAACTGAGTGATTTTACGATCATTAAGTCCACCGGTGAATATGGCCTCCGATGGACGCATTTGTGGTGGTTCATGCACCCCATAGACGACGAACATGTAGTTTGAATGACTTTCCAGACCGGAGACTTTGTATTCCTTGAGGGGCACAGACAGAGGAAGTCAAATAAGACCAAACAAATAAAAGCAGGGCCGCAGTAAGGTTTAAAAAAGCAAAAGCCAGCAGGTTACACACAAAACCTGAAAGGAGACAGAGAAGGCCTTTAGACGATGGGACAGACAGAGATCTTTAGCAAGAACGCGCAATACTGAGTAAATGGAGAAGTTGACGAAACACCGATTAGTACGGTAAACGAGTATAGAAGGCAATACACGAAAATGTGCAATTCGCAAGAAAAGCTTCCAGTGAGCAAGACCACGCAGTGAATCCGTGAACAAACAGGCGCTTGTTGACGATAAACGTATAGTCTAAAGACTTCGCAGGTAAATAAAGGCAGCAGGTGGGTGGTTTTATGAGGGCATTAGCTATCCAGCAATGTGAGGAGTGTAAGGAGACAGAAAATTTGCGACAAAGTTTTTCTACGGCCAGTGATAATAAGAACGTGTAAGGCAAATGTGATTGGAGCCACACAAGTGGCTGAGCCTCTAATAAAACAAGTAGACCTAGGTGCACTAACATGCTAGAGATAAAATGACGAATTGCCTCCTACGAGGCCCGTACTGGCAGACCTCAACAGTCCGGGAAGACATATAAAGTGACAGAGTAAGAGAATTTGATTATGGGTCAATCTAAAGAAAGAAACGTACGTCGAGGTGTCCGGGTACAATAACATATTGAAAACCGGAATAACCGGTCTCCCCATTGGGCAGCCTGATCACCTTGCGAAAGAGGAGGATAAAATGATCGATGGGGAAGCCGACTCGCATCTTGTAGAGGACCCATTTCACGTAGACAGCACCGCCCGGCTAGATTGAAAGAAGAGGTCGCATTTAGTCTTGCCAACGATTTCGGTCGAAATGCAAAAGTATAGGCAATTCGAGAGGATCAAGAAACAATGGCTATTTTACGACTATACCTACAGATGAGGAACAACAAACAGGGCCAGGTTTTCTTATTTAAAAGTACTGCTTAATGATAACGGAAATAAAACCTCGAAAGACACACTGGCCATACCGAAACGGGAGCATTAGCGACTCAGTTGATGGGACTTGGGAAGGGGTGGATTTGTGGAGTGGGTCGGGATAAACATCTGAGGTACTGTTCAAGATTGCAGTCACAAGGGGCTTATAGGAATTAATAGGACACTATTGCTTTTAAAAATAGCCTTGAATGCTCTCTGTTGTTGAAAGTGGAAGTGGGGGCGTGAGGACGCCGTGGCACCGTCGGTGTACGCAGTACAGATGATAAACGCCAGAAAAACCGGCTTTGTAGCAATATACTCGACGTACTTTCCAGCGGATTGAACGAAGTTTAAACCAATTGAAACAGACGTGAGCAAGATGGTCGACGTGACATAGAACCTTCGCCCACATGTGCCACAAGCATGTTCGTTCTTCAGCGCAATGCTGACTGATTCACAGAGCTTACCCAAAACTGAGAGCTGCTAATGCATACCAAGCAATGTGGAATCCCACTGAACCTTCATCCCTCTTTGCACTCCGGCATTCAGCCAACGAACGCGCCAAACCTTATTTGAATGTCGGGCATTTCTATGGCCCAGTTATAGTCTTGATGTGCTAATATTTACCCAACGGCTGAACATCAGCACACTTTCGGAGCACCAAAACCCTGGTTCTGAACAGATCACGACTACTATTATTAACATTATCGGTGTTGTTAACAATGTTATTGCTCTAGATTTGCGAAAAAGCTAAAGATGGATGTAAAAGATGATTCCTGTTCAAATACATAATGTACAACCAGAGTTCTAGACTCGGGGCCGCTACCTCTGCGGTTGACTACAGCTGGTTGGTGACGGCTAATAAGCCAGAAATTGACGTTCCAGTCATTTTTGTCACGAAATTTCATGACGTCATTAAATTCTGCTCAAGTCATGATCTTCGCTTTGCTCATTTTTGTCTTTGTCGGTTGGGTTTGTCTCCCTATAATATATATATATATATATATATATATATATATATATATATATATATATAT